TTTTTTTTATTTTTATATATATATATATATATATATATATATATATATATATATATATATATATATATATATATATATATATATATATATATATATATATATATATATATATATATATATATATATATTTATATATTATAATTACTTATAAATAATTATCTTCAAAAATAAACAAAAAGAAAAATTATTATGTTTTGAAACAACATGAATGTCATCGTAAACTTTCATTTTTTCGTGCACTGCACATTTATTTAATATTACAAGGTTAACAAGGAAATATGAAAGCATTTTTAATGAGCATAACTTTGTGCTTAAAAATGTAATAAACTGGAACAAAAGTAGTTGATTCATAAAACCAAACACCGTTAAACATCCAAAATGATTTTAAAGTCAGAGTAAATATCAGAATGAATTGACTAGGAAAGCCTGCTTCACTGTAAATATTGTTAATTCTACAAGATAATACTGTGAAATTTACTATCTTCCGTGAAGTTACACTGTACGGCTGTGATTTCACAGTAACTCAATGTAACAAAATCACAGTAAATTACTGTGAACTACACCTCACAGTATTTTGCTGTGATTTTACATATGGTATTTTACTGTAAAAGTAATGTAATAAGGGGCGAGGCAGTGGCGCAGTAGGTAGTGCTGTTGCCTCACAGCAAGAAGGTTGCTGGTCGCTGGTTCGAGCCTCGGCTAAATTGCCGTTTCTGTGTGGAGTTTGCATGTTCTCCCTGCATTCGTGTGTGTTTCGTCCTGGTGCTCAGGTTTCCCCCACAAGTCCAAAAACATGTGGTACAGGTAAATTGGGTAGGCTAAATTGTCCATAGTGTATGAGTGTGTGTGTGAATGTTTCCCAGGGATGGGTTGCGGCTGGAAGGGCATAAAAACTTGCTGGATAAGTTGGCGGTTCATTCCGCTGTGGCGACCCCGGATTAATAAAGGGACTAAGCCGACAAGAAAATGAATGAATGAATGAAGTAATGCAATTATTAGCCAGTAATTTACTGTCAATTTAAGGTCAAATGTTTTACAGTGTGTATAACCTGAACATTTGAAAGAAATATAATCAGTGGTTTAAAGACATTACCTTTTGTCTATATATTGTATAAAGGTGTGAGAATATATATTCAAATAATGCTTAAAGGTAAAAGGGTATCATTTTAAAAAGGTAACACATGGGTGTTGTATTTTAACTTTAAGAATGTTAAAACATTGGTATTTTGTTGGAAAATCATGCCTTTAAAATATTTAAAACTAAAGAAATGCAATTACAAAAACCACTGTCTTTTAATTATTCATTTTTTGAGCGTAAAAAGCGAAAAGAGTGGAGATGTTTAGACAACAAAATGCATGTTTAACTTCAGAAGAGTCAAGAAATCATTGTGTTGAAAACACAATAAAACATGCTTTTATTTTATTCAAAAACAACAACAAACAATTCTTTATGAAATGTATAATTTAGACATTTAAATGAAAAGTAATCAGTGGTTTAAAGGCATTAACATTTGTATTTCATTGTATAACAAAGGTGTAAGAATATTTACTCCAAATAAATATTTCTGTAAACTCCACACAGAAACATTGGTTGGCTTGGTAAGGACTAGAACCAGTGACGTTCTTGCTGTGAGGCAACAGTGCTAACCACTAGGCCACCGTGCCACCCATCCAGGAAAGGAGGAGGAGTAGGGGTGGAAAGGGGGATTCTTGAAAATGAAGATGGCTGTGATATGGAGCTGAGGGTATTTATAGTGGCTTAGGAATTGTTTGATTGGTCAATCATTAATTGAATAATGCGGGGCCAGCTGAAAGCAATCATAAGCACATGATCCTCTCCAAATTAGTTTATAAATAAATCTCACGTAAAACAGGTCTTTTTTATTTCATGCTTAAAAAACGTTCTGATATTATAGAAATGTAATCAGTAAAATTGGCTTCTGTAAATTGTACAGTATTTTCTCCAGTGTGTTTAAATCAAGAAAATCATTATTGTGTTGAACACAATATTACGTTATGTTTTATTAATAATTTGCATGTAAACAAATGTTTGGTCAACAAAATTAATGTTAAACATCAGAAGAGTCATGAAAAAACAATGTAATAGAATAAACCATTAAATTTCAAGAATACTAACTTATTATTTAACCCCAAAAATAATTAAATCAAGAGAAACAGCACATTTTATATTAATTTGGTTTTGTTCTTTACCTGTATATGTATAACCATGACTCAATGGACTGTATTCATGCAATATAGAGCATATTTGTAGTCATTAATAATGTCACAGCTGACTCAAACTGGAGATATGCTTTGCCTCATGAAAGTTGCTGAGTTGATGTGGTTATCGAGCTTTTAGGCTCTAAGCGACTATATGAACACAACACTTATTTCATGCACTGCTGGTCTGCGAAATTCCCCACAATGCAATTTATCATGCAACACACTGCAGACAATGCATTTTCATCATTGAAGCCCAAGGAGCAATGCTGGGTAATGTAGATATGTAACAATACATATTTATTTTAATAAGTCTAGCTCAAAATATCAAAGTGGTCCAACTATTCTAAAAATGTGTTGTTTAAAGGACAGCTGCAAAATATAAAAAGATTTCAGATGATATTTAAGAATTTTGAGGCCAAACAGTCATCTTTTAATTGTGTATTTTGGTATGTCGTCTCATTTTTATTTATCCAACTATGCACAACATTTTTTTTTTTTTGATGACATACACAATTGCTAGACTAAATTATATTTTAATGGCTTTTATTTTAAGGATGCAGGGTATGATAGTTATTTCGACAAATAAAATAAATAAATAAATAAAATTTAACCGACATAAATATATATATATACACTGTAAAAACTAATCTATAGAATTTACCCAATAAATCTGAGGTAACAATTTGCATCGACTTTGGCTGGGTATATTTAATGCCATATATAAAGTATAAACTATTGACTTTGGCTGGGTAGATTTAATCCCATATATTGAGTATAAACTATCGACTTTTGCTGGGTAGATTTAATCCCATATATTGAGTATAAACTATCTGAAGTAAAAAGCTATTAAATACTTACATGAATTGGGTAAAAAATACCTCACATTTATGTATATATTCAACAGCTACTTATTAGGTAAAAATTATCTCTTTAAATAAAAGTTTATTAATATCAGTTACCTAATAACAATTACTTATTCAGAGAAGGTAAAATCTACCTCTACAATAAAGACATTCAAATGGGTTATCAACTCAATGTTTTTATTCCAAAAAATCCTAAAACACACTTAAAATAAAGTGCAGCACAACAGCTTTACACAACATTTCAAGTAATGAACATGTTTTATAACTCGCTGATCTATTAAATCTTTCAATAATGTTGGATAATAAAACATTTCCCTGTTTTAGGACATCCAGA